CTTGTTGAACCTCATGAGGTTCACATGCTCCCATTCCTCGAGCCTTCCCAGGTCCCTCTGGATGGATCCCACCCCTCAGACATGACCACTGCACCACTCAGCTTGGGGCCAGCTGCACACTTGCTGCCAGTGCAGTGCTGCTCATGCTTCTCTTACCTCTCAGGTTCATCTGGTGTGCAGGAGTCCCGTTGGATTCCTCTTTGCTTTTGTAGCAGGAGATAGAGGTATCTTTGAAGGTGCACCAATATGGCTTGTAGCCTTTCAATGTCAGCTTCTTGGGCCTGCCAGACAGGTTGAGGGTCATTACATTTGGTTTAAGCTCCTAAACCAAGCTGCTGCACTGGGAAATTCATCTCACCCTTGAAAACCTGGTGTCAGCAGCCTGGGTTTGCACACCCCTGGGATAGTCCCTGCCTGGGAGCTCAGCTACCACTCACCACCCCTTTGTTACAATGTTGGGTCAAGAAACTGAGATACAACTGCAAATTTGGACTCTTCAATCCCATGGAAGTCCTGCTAATTTGGGGCAAAGTCAGGGGAGCTGGAGAACCATTACAAAAATAGACATTCCATGATCTTCTGCAAAATATGCCTCATCACCTGCCCTATGAAACTGGAACCACTCTGCTCAAGCTCTGCAAGGAAATGGTACTTCTAAAAGACTTGTCAGTCAAGCATGTGCATGAGCCCACTTGCTGTTTGCTTTATAAAGACTCCACATCAGGAAAGGTTCCATTCCCCTCTATGGAAAACATGGATTTTGCCTGACTCTGTGGAAGCAGTGACAGCCCTGTGAGCCCAAAGCAAGCCACCACCTGGCATGGTGGTACCCTGAGCCTTGCCCATCCCACCAGGAGCCCAAGACCTTTGCAGAGCTCCAAGTTTCTGAGTTTTCCTAACCCTTCCTGATGTCTAAACCTTCTTGAAAAAGCTCTACCTGCAGCTTCTTGCTTCAATGCATTTCTCACATCTCCACCCCAGAAATAGCTGCTCAGCCCTCATCAGTAGGGGCCAAATGAGCTCGGGGCATCTGCTGCCTCCTCCTAAAGCCCTGGCACACACAGCTCTGTCCCATACAAACTTTAAACCCACAGTTTCCTTTGAAAGCTGCCTCCCACTCCAGAACACATCACCAGCCCCCAGCCAAGCCATCCTATGCAGGCAGGTTGTTCCCTCCTTCGTGTTTCATCCTTCACTAAAGATGTTTTAATACATTTTTGGTATCTTGACCTTTTGGGGGAGCTCCTTTGAATTGCAGGCAGGGTAATTTGACTGGCCTGGCTGGCAGAGGAGAGAGAAACATCCCAAGTCTCTGCAGCAACACCAGGCACATACAGGGACAGATATACAGGATTTACATATCTAAGGACATACATTGCAGCTCCATCCAACTGAATCATAGAAACAGAATCATTTGGGTTGGAAAAGACCCTTAAGATCATTGAGTCCAACCATTAACCCAGCACTGCCAGGTCGTCACTAAACCATGTCCCTCAGCACCACATGTACAGGGCTTTTAAACACCTCCAGGGATGGAAACTTGAAATCCTAACCCCAGGGTTTGGGTCTTACACCAGGTGAGGAACCAGCAGCCTCTTGCTGCTCCATGTCCTGCCCCACTAACTGGTGCATCCAATTTGCAAGCTATTAGCTCCTCAAGTCATGCTTAATTTCATTGGCAAATAAGCACATCAAAGTGAAGAGTAAGGTTCTGGTTGGTTGGTTTGTTGAAGGAGGGAAAAAAAAAAAACACTTGAATGCAGGGCACAGGCTGCAGCCCTGAAACTTTGCCCCACTTAAGACAGACCACAAGCCCAGACGGGCACAGACACTTTATTCGTTTGCCTTTGGAGAGGGAGAAAGAGCTTTTCAGAACACAAGTGCTAGGTTCTGACTCTAGAACCAAAGGATTATTAAACCAGAGGCTCATTCCAGAGCTATTTCACTGCCTACAGCTTTTCTTCTATACCCTACAGCTACGCTGTGAAATCTCATCCCTCTTTCCAATTTCCAGAACTTTCACCATAACCCTTGTCACAGCAGGCAATAAATTGCAGAAGACTCTCAGGGCTGCCAGAATGTTACTCAAAGTGCAGATGCTGCCCTTCCCCGTTTCCACCTAACACCATCCAAGTGAACGAAACAGTAAAATAACCCTTAAATCCTGAGTGAGCTGAAAGAGTCATCTTAGCCTGCCCCTTTTGGCAAGGAGAGGGATGATAGATTTGGATTAGGCTGTTGGACATTCATCCAGTGTTTTGTAGACCAAAAGTGTTGGAGCATGGTTTCTAGGCTTCACTCCTTAATTTTAGGGTGGTTTCATTATCTCCTGGGTGCTGACTGTGTTAAAAGAAATATCCCAGCAGACACTGCTGGCTACAGGATGCAGCAAACTCTCCTGGACCAGGGGGGTGATAGTGGGAAACACCTTGGGTTTATAGAATCATGGAATGGTTTGGGTTGAAGGGACCTTTCAAGGTCATCCAGTCCAACCCCCTGCCCTGAGCAGGGACATCTGCAGCTAGAGCAGGTTGCTCAGACCCCCGGCCAACCTCACCTGGAATGGTTCCAGGGATGGGGCAGCCACCACCTCTCTGGGCAGCCTGGGCCAGGGGCTCCACACCCTCCGCAGCAAAAATTTCTTCCTTCTTTCTCGTCTAAATCTCCCTCTTTTAGTTTAAAACCAGCACCCCTTATCCTGTCCCAAGAGGCCCAGCTAAAAGGTCTGTCCCCAGCTTTCTTCTAGGTCCCCTTTAAGTACTGGAAGGCCACAAGTAGGTCTCCCCAGAGCCTTCTGTCATTATATTTAAGAACTGATCGACTTCAGCATCAAATATTTCAACCAGTGTGAAACACTAAGTACCAGGCTAAAGAATGAAAATGGTTTAACAGCAGCTGAGCTGTGGCATCACCCAGCAATTGCTCTGTGGCTTTTCACACCACATAATGGAGTTGTGTGCAGATCTTAAGGCAGGAGATTGAAAAAAAAAAAAAAAAAAAAGGATATTAGGAGGTTGTACCATTAATTATTCATCAACATTACCAGGTTCACAAGCACTTCTTCCCATCAGCACTTACTTGAAGACTTTGATGTAGTCGGCGAGCTCTGGGATGGATGTGATGTCACCCTGGAAAGAGAAGATTATCCCAGTCACTGGCCTGCCCAGAGCTGGGGTGGTGGCTCTGGCAGGGGAGGGATGTTGTGCAGGGGGCGACACAAGTGTCACCTCCACTGGCCAACACCGGGCTCAGGGGATCCTGAAAGTACTCCTGGGAAAGCCTCCTCCACTCCACGGGGAGAAACAAGTGGAGAAAACTCTATCACACAGAAGTGCTGTTTGGAAAGCAGAGGAGAAGGTTTTATTTTTCTCTGTTTTTTTCCGACAGAGTCCCTGCTGCTGCCAGAGCCAATTCCCACCCGCGAGGTCACCGGCGGTCACACCGCCCCGTGCTCCCACAAGGATTTTTCTCCTCCCTTAGTTATTTCCTTATGTTCTGAACAAAGGACGCTGCTCTGCACCTCCACGGAGACCCTGGGAAGGGCTTTCTGACAGTCTGGAAAGGTTTTCCCACCCCCTCAGCTTTTTTAATACCAAGTTTATCTTCACGTTTTGCACGAGCGAAACGCACAGGGTGGCACCGGCAAGTCCCACGAGCTCCAGCTGAAGGATTTGAGGACAGAAAGACATTTTTAAAGGACAGAAAAAAGCAAAGGCTGCTCCAACAGCTTCCAGTAGCAAGACAGTTTCCTTTCCATCTGCAACGAGCAGTGCTGTTTATAGATACCACAGGGTAAAAAATGCGGAATCTAAACAAACAATCCAGTAATTGCCCATTATCCGGATTCAATTACTCGAATGCATCTGGAAATGACTACTGCTGCTACCCTGACGGAAAGGGATGGAGGGGGTTTGATGAATCATTGCTGTCTTCATTCCTAACTGGCAGGGACAGTGCTGTGCTTCAAATCTGGGTTTGCAAAGAGATGAGAAAAGATCCCTCGGCGACAAAAGCTCGTCGTTATTCCTGTCGCGGCGAAGCAGCGCTGCTCTCCCCATGGCAGCTGCTTGATATCCTAAATCTCTGCTGTTATTAATGCCAAGCAGGGATGGGTAACTTCAAAAAGACCCTTCTTAAACGCTTTGAAAAACTTCTGTGAAGTGCAAGACTGGAAAATTTCAGGGGTTTTAGGGTATGAAAGAACTTAACGCGAAACTCCGAGGTGGTATAAATGTGCAGAATGCCTGGAAAAGCTGAGCTGTGCCTCGTTGGACTGGATTTAGTTCTTTTTCTTTAGTTTAGTTCTTGAGTTTTATGTTTTTTAAAGGTGGAAAACCAGTGTTGAAACAGCATAGCAAAAAAAAAAAAACCCAAGAAATCCTCTGATATCCAGTCACAGCTCACTCCAGGCTAAAATCCGGTCTCATAAAAATAGGGTTTCATAAGTGTTAGATATTTCTGAAAATCACAGCAGCTGTTTTACATGCTGTAAAGCTTTGCCATGAATTAGAAATGCTGGAGGAGCAACCTCAGCGTGAAGGATTCAGCAGTTTGGAAAGTCAGGAGCGAGAAGAGAAACTGAATGAATTTTAATTGAGTTTTCCATTATTTCACCAGGAAGGTGGCTCGGTGCAGGGGCTGGTTCTATAATATCCCAGCTCCTCCAGGATTTCTCCAGCACTGTTTGAAACAGTCTTATGGTCCCAGCAGGAAGAAAACAATATTGCACTTAATTTCTGAGCTTTCCCTGCTAAAATAACTGCAAAGATCCCCAAAATAAAAGGCAGCTTAAGTGAAGCCTTTGGTTCCAGACGTGTATGTGCTCAAGAAGGTTTTAATGCTGATTTGGGTTCAGAGCAGAGCTCCAGCTCAGTGCTGGTCCTGTGTTGGACACTGCTCCCACCACAAGTCCTTCTTGGTATTTCAAAAAAATACTATTTTTAAGAAAATATGATTTGGATCTGTATTTGAGTTGCTTCATTGGGCTGTGGGCAACTTTCTCACGTGGTAAGAGAAGAAGCAGAAAAAAAATAGGGAAAGGAAGGAGACATAAAAGTTTGGATGCCTGGAAGAACCTCCAGCTCAGGATGATCACTCCTGCCTCGCGCAAGGCGAGGAGGGGACAGAGAAGCCACCCTGCCACCAGGTGCCTGGAACCCTTACCAGGATCGTTGATGTTTTGCCACCTTCCAGAGTAATCTCCAGATCCGAGAGCGCTGCGTCCACCTCGTCCACCTCCTTGTCACTGTTGTTCAGGTGGTTCTCCGAGGACATGATGGACAGCTTGTTGATGTGGTACTGAAAGGCAAGGCACAGCACTTCACCAGGATGCTCCTCAGATCTCCTGGGTGCCGTGGGCTCATCACAGCACAGCCACCACGCTTGGGAAGGAGATGGAAAACCAGAGCTGTACCCTCCATGGGAGGAGCAGAGGTTGATAAGTGCTGAGACCTGACACAGATGATTCAGCAGTGATCAGCTTGGCTGTGTTCAGTCCCAGGAGCTGGTGGCACAAACCCTGAAGGGCTGCTCTGGACCTCACAGGGCACAGCTACTCTTTTCACAGCATCACAGACTGGTTGAGGTTGGAAAGGATCTCTGGAAGTCATCTAGTCCTATCGCTGGCTCAGGCAGGGCCACCTACAGCCACTGTCCACAACCATGGCCAGTTGAGTTATCTCCAAGGATGGAGACTCCACAACCTCTCTGGGCAACCCATGCCAGCACTCAAGACACCCTCACAGTGTCACAGGGGCAGGACTTTGCACTTATGGGACCTTATTGACTTAGTTCCACCCCCCTGCCATGGGCAGGGACACCTCCCACTGGACTAGCTTGCTCAAAGCCCCATCCAGCCTGGCCTTGAACCCATCCAGGAGGGAGACATCCACAGCTTCCCTGGGCAACCTGTGCCAGTGTCTCACCACCCTCACCATGAAGAAATCCTTCCTAGCACTTCCCCTTGTTGAACTTCATGAGGTTTGTGCTGGCCCATTTCTCCAGCCTGCCAAGGTCCCTCAGGATGGCAGCACAACTCTGGCCATCAGCCACACCTCCCAGCTGAGGAGGATGCACTACATCTGTTTTTACTCCAGAAAACCAAATCACCCACAAAGTCTCCCACAAAGAACCATGCCCAACCCCCTCTGGACTGGTCAGAGAGGTAAACTGAGTCAGTGTATTTCTGTTTTACCCCTTTTTTTTCCTGGGAGGAGCCTTGGGAGCAGACAGCCCTGCTCCTGATGGGGATATTTCTGCATCCTACAGCCACGAGGCGTGCCAGACCGCATGTAGTAAATGGCCTGCCATCTGTCTTACAGAAGTCAATAGCAGGTGTAGCATTTATGCCAAATCACGCCAAGTATTTCATAAAACAGATAAATAAATAGTTCTGGGAAACCCACAGATTATCACCAGCTGTTTGGGGGGGGCAACGTGCCAGAAAACTTGTGTCCTTAGTGGGGTTTATGAAGAAAGGCGAAACTAAAAGTTCAGAGAGGCATAAATAAGTTGGGTAAAAGAAGGTCAAGTTCCTTTTTATGGGAAGTAATCAGCAGTCAATATTTAAATTACTGAAGAAGCTCGAGTGAGGATTAGGAGATGGGAAATGATCTGACTTTTACCAGCATGAGAGGTCCAAGCTCCCACCAGAGACAAGTTACAGCACATTTCACTTACTGTATTAATCAACATTCAGCAACAGAGAAGTCTGCAAAGCTATAAAACCAAGTTTAAGCAAAACCATGAGTGTCTTGGGTTGTCTCCTACCTGCAGGGCTGCAAACATCATCATCTCTTCCTCTGTGCACTCGATCTCCTCCAGCAGGATGGCCCATTTGGACTGCTCATACAGCTGGTTGATCCTGATCGCGTCGTACTGCGGCACAGCACAAAACCATGGACAGGTTGTAAGAAACAAGAGCCTGGTCCACACCAAACCACTTCATCTTTCATTGCAGTGCCACTCTTCTATCCAAGACTAAAGCTTCTCCCACCAAAGAAGAATGGCTCTAAGCAACCCTTAGAACATCTCAAGTAACACCAGAGCATGGGCAAACTGGTCCGTGGGAGCACACAAACCTGGGTTTGATGCCTGCACGCCCAGTTTTCAAAGTGGTGGAGGATTTATCAACACAAAAGCACATTAGAGGCACAGGCATCCTTTGCTCAAAGCCTTCGCCTGCAAGATGCAAGTAAAATAATTAGTTCTGTACCTTTGGGTTCAGGTCAAAAAAGCTGTAGTACTTGAACCGGAGCAGCAAAGCCTCGTTTTCTTTCACCTCCTGCTCCATGAGGGATCGGGATGAATCCAGCCATCTGTAAATGGTCAACACAGGACAACACACACAAAAGGCTCTGGTGAAGTCACCACGGTGCTTTCAAGAACGCAGTTTAAAACGACACATTGAAAAAAAAAAAAAAGAGAAAAGCAGGAAAAAAAAAAAATCAGACAACCAAATCCTCCGCTCACCCTTGGTTGATTTTGGCTTTGTCGAGCAGTGCCTGGGGCTTGTACATCTTTGCCAAGGACTCTGGGGAGGTGACGGGCTGGCTGACGGCCAGGATGCCCGGGTTGCCCTCCGACAGGGCGCTGTCCCCAAACCAGGCTGACGTGGGTGACAGGGGACTGCCGTCGTGGGCGTCGTATGTCGGCGTCATCGTTTTGCTGTACAGCCCTGGGCTCGAGTAGATGTTGCCTACCAGCAAGAGGAAGAAAAGCCAGGAGTCAGCTCCTGGCCCAGCTCTGCCTGCTCCCAACCAAGCCAACTCGGACACAAACCCACAGCCAGCAGATGAAAAATCTTCCCTTTTCTTTTCTCTTTTTTTTTTTTTACCCTTTTTTTCCACAATGGGAAAACGCCGCGCTTCTTGTTTTCCCATGAAAAGCTGCCCCTCTCTCTCTCTCTCAGCTCTTCTCCAAGAGCACAACGGATGGAAAACTCATTCCAGCCCCAATCCGTGGGAAAAGGAGCAGGTCTCCCACACTGGGAAACTCCTGCCCCAAGTGGGGGTTTGTTTTTGGAGCACCTGGGACACGAACGGCCCCCAACTTACCGCTGTTACCTGTTCGCTTAAAGATTTTGGAAGTCAAAAGTTTGAGAGGAGCAGGAAAATAAACTAAGGGCACGGCCAAAGAGACCAGAGGCAGAGCACAAAAGTCCTACTGAGGTGGAGCTCACCTTTGACGGGGCCGATGTAAAGAATATCGGTGCCTATAGAGAGGGAAAGAAAGGAGGGAAGTGAGAAGGCGAGAGAAAGTCACTGGGAGGGTGGGGAAGGACAGGAGCCCCAAACTGGGCGTTTTCAGATGAGGGCAGAGCAGCACAGGTGAGGTTGAAGCACCCGAACGGAGCGTTGGCAGGAGCGCCGGTGGACTCTGCAGGCAAAGCAACCACAAGTGACTCCACAGTTGGGGTTTTATCCACGTCAGGAGGAACCACCAGCCACGGACACGCCGCGTTTCACAGCCCCACGAGCTGGCTGAGATGGCCAAACCACTTTGGTATTAATATGCTGAGTGAGTGGTGCCACTTGGTGCAAAACCCAAAGCACACGTGACTCCCAGGCCTTTTAAAGCTTTACAGACTCAAAGCAGACCAAAAAAAATAAAAAAAGCCCTTTTGAAAATCACAAATTGGAAGAGAAGAAAGCTGACCTAGCTTGGTATCTCATTCCTCAAACAGCCAGGATCAAAATAGTCCCTATTCATCTCACAGGAGCATTGATTTTTGTGTTAAGAATATAAAATATGGAATTTTAGAATAGGGGAGATTCAACGACCGTATCCTAATGTCAGTAATTCCACTGTGTGTGTGCATCAGGCAAGGAGCTCGGCACAAATCTGCACAGCAGGACCTAGAAGGACCAGTAGCCAACTGGTTTTTTTTGGGATGGAGTGGTGTTCTTTTTAAATTACAAGCTTATTCAGATGTGCAATTTGATGAACCCAAATTCCACCCACTATTAAGGGTGTTGAAGGCAGGGTTGAGATGCCACAAGCAAGGTCTTCTGTTCCACCTCCTGCTGCTGCCCTGAACCATCCCCTCAGGCCACCCTCCAGCTCCTCACTCCAAGTGATCCCTCCTCCCTGAATGCTCAAGAAATGACAGAAAGCTGAGCTACACATCCAGCAAAGTCTAAGACCAAAACCACACTAAAACCTTTCCAAAGTCATGTTTTGCCACGGGCTTCTCAAGGAGCAGTCAGAACAGGTTGAGCCAGCAGCATCCTACCAATGACAGACAACATCTTGGTCAGGAAATTTAAAATAATATAAAACATGATTCTAAACTGCCTGACAGGATGAAAAATACAAGTGAAACCCACAGAACACAAAGACCACCAGGATGCTTTTAATTCTCCTGCTGGTTTTGCTGGTGTCCCAGTCTGGATTAATGACCTAGGGGACCGGTAAGCACCATGGGTACCTGTCATCAAGACAGACCCAGCCAACCAGGCATGAGCAAAAAAGCAGCAGAAAAGGTCAAGGGATGGAGATATCCACCTTCAAGCTGCACACTTGCAAGGAGAAGGCTGAGGACAACTTGCCAGGTACCAGGTACTTGGGGAGATGGACACAATGATCCTTATGGTCCCTTCCAACTGGAGATAGTCCAAGATCACAAAAGCAGCAGAAAGGTGCTCTCCCCATGGACCACTGTAATACTGAAGCAGAGAAATCCAACAAGAACTGCCAATAAACCACCATCACCATCCATAAACTGCAACCTGAAAGATGCTTTTGCCTCCTCCCCAGCCACCCTTGCAGCGTGCCAGCCTCAACCTTCATGTGGCTCAAGCAGACAGGGCTGAGCATTAACTGGTCCATCAAAAAAAAAACAAAACATGTCTTGCCCCAAATTGGGCAGCTTTGCCCATGGACATGTCCCCCATATTCCTCCATCTGAGTGTCTTGCTCCAGAAGAGCAAAGCTTCTCCTCATCACCTTCTCCAAACGTCTGAAATATCTCAGAAGTTTCCTTTATAAAATTTGCCTGAGGCAGGCAATGCCATGGAAAGTTCCAGCTGAGAGAGCTCTAAGTTTGGCTAACTTGTAAACAAGTGAATACAGGTCTTCTAATGGAAAGTGTTGGGCAACATCTACTGTGGGTGTATCGACAGCTCTGCCTGCAGTGATTTAAATGGTTTCACTGCCAGGCACAGGGTGCTCAGTGACAAAACATCCTCAATACATCCATGTGCACTGAAATAAGCAGATCCCAAAATATTAAGTCATTTTACAGAAGCATCCAGCACATAAACTAGTGTTGGAACAACACTAGAAACAGTTTATTCACATTAAAAACATGGCTTTTAACTAATGGCACCTAAACGTGGCAGGTGGCTGCAGTAAAACCTACAGCAAAAGTGATTTCATTCCTAAGGAAAGTAAAACCAGCAAGAGGGTTCAAAGTGGCTTGCTGAAAGATCAATAAATAATTAAAATAAACCCCTCTCTTTTGCATACATTTTCCCTCAAGCAAGCCAGCTATCTCCTATTAATCTAATGGAGATGCTCTCCATGACTTTCGAGATGAAAATGCCAAATGAAAATGAAAATTGCCTGGAGCCTTGCCCGATGCAGGGAAAACTCCCTGATTCAGCAGTGACCAGGAGAGGACTAGCCCAGAGGTATTTTTAAGTAACCAAGAGAAGAAAGGGTGAGCCTGGAGCAATAAAAGGATGATTTTTCCCTTGCTACTGCCCTGTGCTGATGGTTTTCTGCAGAGCATCATCGCCCCCACCCCTGCCCTGCGCAGCCAAAACCTTTCTGCTTGCAAGCCCCGAGCCACCAGTGGCATTAACCACACTGCATGACCTGCACTTGTACCTTTTTAAAGACCAATTAATATCAATTTACTGAATTCCAAGGTTTTATTTTTCTTTTAATTGAGGCTGCCCTGCTTCCCTCACTGCTGGGTTTAACACCCAGAGCTTTGGCAACCAGACAGATCTTCTCCGCCTGTGCTGCTGCGGCTTTCCCTGCAAGCCCATTTGGGCTGAAGTGCTCCCACTTGACCAGCTTTATCACTCCAGGTCTTCCCACTTGCCTTCCAACTCCAGACCTCCAGCAGCTGTGGAAAAACCCCTCCACCTGGAAACACCTCCCTGCCGCAATCTAGTGCCTGCAGCAAGAGATGCCACTCCACCAGTGATGTCACTCCATCAATGATGCCACTCCATCAGTAATTCTCTAACCAAACTACCCCCTCCAGCAATAAAAAGTGTTTGTTTGTTTGTTTCTAGCATTACCATCTATAGCTATGCCCTTAAGGGAACACTAACACAATTAATAAAACTGGGCTATAAATAAGGAGTAGAACGGTGGTGCTGCCTAAACCACACCTGGAATTTGACATTAGGAACGATTTCCCATTTAACTCCTTTCTGAACAGGGTAAGAAACCCTTTCAATAACACAATCTGAGGAACTAAAGTGGTGACACTTGGTTTCTGGTTTATTGGATGAAGTCTGGCATTGCTTGGCTCCCCTGTATGCGTGACAGCTCCAGGCATGCATCCATGTGACCGTGACCGAGTGCTGCAGCCCCGGACGATTTGTGGAATTTATTTGGGGTCTGTCTCTTGCACAGACCTCAAGAAATTAGATCGTATGACTGTGATATCATTTCCTCTCCCATTTGATTCGTTTGCCTGCCTGCAAGCCCCTCCTCAGGAAGCAAGCCCCAGCTCACCCGACCCCGGTGTGATCAGAGGACCCTCCAGCTCGAAGGCGTCGTCTTCACATTGATCATCCAACTTCTTCTTTTTTTTCTTTGATGGATCTCTGGGTTTCCTCAAAAGGGAGAGCTCTTCTGGATGCCTGATGTCTGAGGAGAAAATAGGACCATTTTTACAAAGGCAGGAGGGAAAAAAACAGGGGAAAAAGAACTTACTTCCATTAGGAACAACGTCCAGCAACGTGCAATATCTCCCTCAGCTTATTTTCCTGCTTTGCAATGGTTAAAAATCAAGCTGAGAACGTTTTCCCTGCAAGGCTGTTGGAAATAAACACTGTCCTTGGCTGGAGAGGTAACAAAGCATTTGGGTCAAATGCAGAATTTCCCAGGCACAGCCACTCAAATGCAAATACAAGAACTGCTAGACCCTGTGACAGATCCTAGTTCCATTCCCACCCATTATCCTAAAAGATCAATATTGAAAAAAAAAAAAATATTCAAGCACTTAGGTAACAGGCCACTTACTCTCCCTTCCATAGGAGCAATCCAAGAATCAGGCCATTTATTTACATATCAGACTGGAAATTTTAGTGTCTATATTTAAGGCACCCACTTTTTAAAGAGATCTTGACCCAAGTGTTTCTTTTTCACAGCAAATCTCTCCCATTTCCCTGCCCAGAACCAGCCTGAAAAATTTTAAAGCCATGTTATTTAAAAGGAGGAGCATCCCAGCTAAAGAAAAAGAGAATTTTAGGACCATTTCCCACAAAGGTGGTATTTTGGGTTAGTCCTGCCTGCTGCAGTCACTTCCAAGGGGGAAGGAGCTTTCCAGGAAAAGCAGAGCCCACCATCCATCATACCACCAAAACCACTGAGGAACCACAGGGGAGCCAGGAGTCCCTCACCAGCCCTGCAAAACCCAAAAGGAGAGGAAAAAAAATCTCCATCTGTGCTGAACTGTCCTCAGTCCTTATGAGGGAACTGACCTGGGAAAGCATTCACCTGGGCACGAGGCCATCCCATTGCAACGATGAAAGGCTGCAAAAGAGATCAGAGAGCTCTGACATGCAGCTTGGGTTGGAAAACAGGAGATTATGGGTCATGCTTGAGCCTGGAAGGAAGAGTTTCAGAGCCAGTTGTCCATGTCCAAGTCCTTGTGTGGTTTCTGGATATTTTTTTTTCAGGGATCTGATCAGTACTGAGCAAGAGCTAAAGGTTGGGAGCAAGAGGCTGGGGCCAGACTCTGATTTTCAGTGGTGCCCAGTGACAGGACAAGGGACAAAGGGCACAAACTGGAACCCAGGAGGTTCCATCTCAACAGGAGGAAAAAATTCTTTGGTGTGAGTGTGTCAGAGCCTAGAGCAGCTGCCCAGAGAGGCTGTGGAGTCTCCTGCTCTGGAGAGATTCCAAACCCACCTGGACACCATCCTGGGCACCCTGCTGTGGGTGTCCTGCTGGAGCAGGGGGGTTGGATGAGATGATCTCCAGAGGTCCCTCCAACCCTTGCTATGCTGTAAGTCTATGTATCACCCCAAAATGCTCAGCTGCATGGAGAGGTGCCAAGCTTTGCCTTCAGGATGCTGTCAGGAAAGCAGCTCCCAGTCCTGCAAGGGAGACCAGGAGACAGAGGAGCTGGAGCTAGTTGTGTTGCAGCCAGGCTGTATTTTCCCACTCAGAGGAACTCTGAACAAGACAATATTAATTATTCAAGAGGAATAATATTCATTATTCCAGCAAGGAGAGGTTGCAGGGTCTGTACCTCACTGCTGTGCTGGCAGCAGTGGGAGTTTGCTCTCTGCTCCCAGGAGCAGGATTATAATTAACCCTGGAATCTGGTTTAATTCCTGGGGAGGACACGGTGACAGCCTCCCTGCCATGCTCTTTTAAATAACAACTTGTGCTTTCCCCTTTTTTCTCCTCCTCCTGCTATTTTAACTAACAGCCTGTGCACCCCCACCAACCCCACCGTGCCTGTCACATTGGGTGGATTTGATTTTAGGTGACCTCCAGGGATGGATCCCACTAGCCCTGGTGTTCCTGAATCCACAGGTTGGGCACTTCTGGATTTAATTGTCTCCCATACCACGAGTCTCACATCCCAAACCATCATCTGGCTCAGCTTTCATTTAAGCTTTATCTTGATATTTATTTAATATGTCAATATTTTACTTATTTATTTATTATATAACCTGGGTTAATGGTTGGACTTAATCTTAAAAACCTCCAACCTCAATGAGTCTATGATCCTATATACAAGCTTTATTTTTAATTTACGCTTTCATTTAACACCAATTTATTACTACTCCACATACATCACCAGGTTAAATTCTGTTCCTGCAGCCACTAACCAACAGTTTGTTTCACCACACAACTTTTTTGACCATTTCTAGCAATAAACACCACGTGTATGAATGCAGACAGCTCTTCACATGCCCATTTATCACAGCCAGCTTACCTCATGGAGGAAAAATCTGCTGGGACAACCAGGGTCATGCACAAGGGACAACATGCAGCAGAGCCTAAAATGAGGAGTTCCCCTGGTATTCTGCTAGCAAGGTTTATACTCTGGTGTTTATTTATGGTGCATTAGCAACTGATACAGTCTCCCAGCTGAAATCATTCAGAGAGGCTGAGAGAAAGGCTCTGGGCCAAGCTCAGCTCCTGAAAGCAATCTGTTGGAGGTGGCCCAAAGCTTGACCATCTGATTTCAAAGTGACTTTTTATAGTCTCTCAGTTGTCTGTGATGCTGTCTCTGGATGACAAAGGACACGGGCAAGTTTTCAGCAGCTGCTTCAGGCCAGGGGCACAGCGAAGGCAGCAGCGTCCTCACCATGCCAAAGGATTCCTGCTCCCTTTTCCCATTGACAAGCCACAAATTTCTCCTCCTATCATCTCCATTAAACCCACTGAAGCTAACTGAGGGTTGCAGGGGAAATTAAAAATAAAGCCCACTGTGCTAAAAAGCAGAAAGCAGCAAGAGAGCAACGTTGGCTTCATTTCCTACTCCAGAATGAAGACAAGGAGCAACTTTGCACGTTTCAATCTCTCAGTAAACTGCTGGTGAAAGACATCTTTGCTGCTGCTGGTGATTAATAAGCATACAAAGGGTCTTAAAGTATATTTTGAACGGAGCCAAGCTTGGCAAACATCGTGTTTAGTTACTGTGTCTACACAGAGCCTATCAAGGGGTGTAAAGGCTTGCAGATGGTCTCCAGTTAACTGGAAACTGGGACAAGCGAATGCTCCAGAGCCCCAGTCCCTGTTTTCTGGCCATAACAGCAAGAGAAAGATCTTTAAAGTATCCAAGAAGGCCAAGTATGCACAAAAATTAAAGGCCTTTATACAGGTCTGGGCTTTTTACTGTACCTGGAGGAGCCCGTTTGCTGGAGCTGTTCATCTGGGGTAAAACACCTCCCATCTCCCCAGGGTTTGACTTCAGCCCTAAATTCCTGCTCTACACCCTCCATTAACTATTTCATCCACGTTTTCCAGCTGAAGCCAAGCCGCCAAAGGTCACTTTGAAGGCAAATGGGTCAGTGAGATGTGGGTGGCCCAGGAGAAATGACCTTCTGAACAAGGCTAATGTGTTGACTCTTCAATTGATGGGTTGGTCAGGGCTGTGTTTGCTCTGAAACAGACTCCTTGTCTGTACACACGAGACAGATGGCACTGGCAACGTCTACTAGAAATTACTTTAAATGATCCTTTTAGCATTTTATTTCTATTTGTTGTGTGAGCATGTGAAAACCCAGCCATCCAGCCTCTCACCAAGCCTCCCCAGGGTCGCTGGTGGCAGCCGCCAGCAGAAACCATCTGCATGGTGTGCTCCATATGGAGTGGAAAACACCGAACAAAAATGGGTCCAAACCCATTTTTCAGCTGGATCCAACCGTCTGTATTTTGACATCTCCTCCAGCCCACGCTGGACCAGCTGCAGCTAAGCCCAAACACTGCTGCAGCTCCATGGCCACGTCCTAGCAGAGGGGCTTTGTCAGATTTAGGGGATTTTTTTCTGCCCAGAGAGGTGGTCGCTGCCCCATCCCTGGAACCATCCCAGGTGACGTTGGCCGGGGCTCTGAGCAACCTGCTCTAGTTGCAGATGTCCCTGCTCAGGGCAGGGGGTTGGGCCTAGATGGCCTTGAAAGGTCCCTTCCCACCCAAACTACTCCAAGAGGAATTTTTCCAACTGTTGGATTTTCCTCCACATAGAATTATCTTTTCCAACTCCCTGCAAGGACCTACTTCTGCCCGTGCTGTCTCTTTGCTGAAGACAAATCCATGCCCTTTTTTCCCTCTCATGTCTCATCCAGCCCCTGCAGAGCTCACCCAGCTCAGGTGTCCCCTTTTATCTCCCTCCCAGAGACCAACAGCAGAGCAAGGATGAAATCCTCCTTTTCCACAGGAGACCACACCAACTGCCCCTAGAAAACGGGCTTTGGAGAAAACCATCTGCCTTGAAGGGTGTCAAATTCACAATTTATGCCTTTTTTGCACTAAATCCACCAACTAAATCTTGCAGCTGCTGCATCTTCAACCAACCAAGGTGTATCACAATGGGAAAGCAGCTGCAGCAGAGGTGGGACTGAAATCCATGTGTCTCAACGTGGAATTTTGCTGCTTTGTCCCCATCCAAGATGTGGAGTCCTCAGACCCCAGCAAGAAGGTCTGGGGGGAACACACAGGGACAATGAGAAATCAGATTTGTGGTTTTCTTGGATACACAATGTGCCACCATCAACTGGAGGGGCTCAGTACATACCAATTTTCCTCAAAAATAAAATTATAGGAAACCACACGACTTTCAATATTCAATTTTGATGTATAAGGAAAATCAGTGCTCCAGAGAAGCTCCCTCAGCATCCAATTCTCCACTAATTTCTGGCTCCCTTAGAAGGCCAGAGGGCTGCTCAGCTCTTGAAGCATAAAACTTCCATAATTTTACTGATAGCACAGATGGCATTTAGGGGAAATCCTGGCTTTAATGCTGATCCAGTCACCCTCCATCAGGGGATGTGTCTTGAAGTGGGATATCTCTGCACTGGGTCATTGCTGCCTCAAAGCCAAGACTCATAAAAATCACAGCCCCTGTGCATCACCACGACAATTCTGAGAAAAAGGAGACTTCAAACCCCATTTCAGACTTCAAAAAT